TCCTTCGGCTCAGTGCCATTGACCCAGTAAAATGGAAGGCTATTACTTGATGACTGTTAAGGAAGAGCAATTCGTTCTGCAGAAGAGGGATAATTTTGCACAGTTAGCAAAGTTATAACGAGCATATTTTTGATAAATATCAACAACACGTGAAGCCAGGCAAAAAACACAGTAAATCTTCAAAAGTTTGGAGAATTAACAAGCTTTCAGTGAGAAAATGATTTTACGACACTAACGATTACGAATAAATTGAAGTAACTTAAAAAACATAAAAAACAATCAGAATGAATAAACAAGTCATACCTTCCAGTCCTCAAACTTTGTTTTCAATCTTTCGCTGGTATCATTTTTATATACGACAAGGGTCGATGCGTTTACGTCAGATCGTTGAAGACGTAAATATAGCCTTGCAATACCACCCGATTGTTGTGTGTACTGAAACTAAGATATTTGTTGCGGCAATATAAAGATATTCACCGTCTGTTCATAATTATTATTATAGCATTCGTCCTATTTCGGAAGCCGTCAAGAAAGACATTCGTATTCGACATCGGAATTAATGTTCATTCTATCAAACACATTCTGTAGATGAATATTGTCGTAATCAACTCTTATCGGTGTAACTCCATTCTAGATTGATCTGTGAGCCAACAAAAAATCAAGTCTGTCTTACGCTTCATGTTGATTATCCGACTGAGCAACAACGCAAATTGGAGCGCTATCAACTTCCTTTCGAATTTCTTCGGTTACATTCAATGTTTTACTTTCAGCGTCTTCATTAATAGATTTGGGGCCGCTAGCAATTACAATGACCAACTTCACTTGATCCTGGGATTCATGATCATCATATTAGGCTTATTAGCAGTACGAAGATCGTACTCCTAATAAGTTTTAGCAATAAAATCCTATGTAGAATTCATTTCACTATAAACATAATGGTTCGGGGTGTTGTATACTGATGCATTAAGCTTTAATTAACTCACTTTAGGGATATCCAGTTCATCGAGAAGTGTGTAGTCTTCACTGAAAGGAACTATTGTAATTAAGAACAAACATATAATGACCACTATACTCATTGAGTATTGAATGTTCGATAAAGTTTTGCATTGATCTTTTGGGACAGAATGAATTACATCCTTAATATATTTTTTCTTGATATATAATTCTAACTCTAACTGCATTCCTTAATTGAATTGTTTGCCCTTTGTCCCTTCCGCTTACAATTCTTAGTATTTTAGACAAAGAGAAATTTCGCTATCACTCAAGTATCACTTCGCTGTCATTATCATTCAAGTATTATGACCATCCGACCGTCACATTTAATTATTGGTGCAAAGTTTGGAATAGAAATCACTGCAGTCTTTGTGCCAAAAACGATTAAATCTCAACATTAGCATAATTTGACAATGACTGCAGTTTGCTTCTGTTAATATAAAAGATGACTAACATCGAATCGGTAAATTTGAAAGACCAGCTACGGATCGAAAATAAATGGAATGGGAAAAGCAAGCCGTTTGCTGAACTTCCTTTTAGTTCAGCGAGGCTCCTTAATACTTCGGCATGATTTGGTTTAGCAAACAAAATATATTCATATGGTGCCCAATGAAGCTTCGCGAAGGATTCGAGCTGCTAAAGTTTGAATTTACATCATTATTTCATCAAATCTTAGTCTGTAATAAGTTCTTTCTGATTTTTAGTTAATTTATTCTTGACGGGAACAAAGAATGGAGCATACTTTATTCATCTGATATTCATCTGATATTCATCTGAGTATAGAGTTTCAAAGCTTTCTCTAAACATGACGGGGTTATTTTACCATCTCGGTAATGCAGCATTGCATGTCGACGGTTCAACTCATAGTTTACATATTCAGACGTCACTGGGATTGCCCTGCAAAATGATATGAAAGAATAATCCATTATTGTTAGTATTGTGTAGGAAAAATTGAAAATAAAAGTTTGATTTGTCGGGTTTGATTTGGGAAGGTTTATTCTTAGGCACAGACGAATATTCTGAGAAGGTATTCTTCGTTCGGTTCAGGAGGAAGTTATTTATTCGCAGAAGGTAGATTGTAATAACGCAAAGGGTAATAGTAAAATGTTTATCGGAGAGTAAAGGATACAATATACGGTGCAGTCCTTGGTTGAGTGTTTGACATGGAAAATGATCAAGTTATAGCCTTGAGTATATACACAATTTTAACACAATGAGCATATATGGGGAGTGTGGTTTATAACAAACATTACATTAGATTTTCCTTTGAGTAAAGAAAAACTGTCAAAATCCGATTACAACAAATGGCTCTGTTTGCAACACTAAGCATTGCAATTAAGATCGGTTCTTAGGCAAAGAAATTTAGCTTATGAGTGTGCTTTGTTACATTAAAAAAAGGAAAGGATGTGAACTTAGATGAAGATAACAAAGAAAAACGCATGAGACAATGAATTTGAGGGATGTAAAATTGGTTGAATGATTCATGACATTGTTACAATTTGTGTGATTGATTTGTTTATTTAATCATTTAGTTCATTTAATCATTTTATTTTATTTGAAGCTTCGCGATATTCAAAATTCGCGAAAAGTATTATCAATCATTTCATTTTAACTTATTAACTCATTTCAATTTTCCTTATCTCCTACAGTTACTAGTAACTGAAATCATAAAATTTGGCGGATATGATTTTTCCACCTTAGAAAATATCTGTAACGTGATAATATGTAAATGAAAGAAAAGTGCTAACTTGCTGAGATTTTTTAAATCTCCTATGGATAAGTAACCAGCAATTTGATCTCCCACTACTCCAAAGACAAAGGTTACTTCATCTTTGGGACAACGAAATTTAGTTTCAATCTTCCTTTTTTTTTATGAGGGGTGGGTCCTTCCTCAACTCATCATAAAGTTCTTGTTTTTCAGATATTTAAACAGAAAATCCAAATTCATTCAAATTTCCCAATTATGTATAGTGTACCACGTTAAAGTTGTTCATTTAAATATAAAATTTGAAAATTCAAAAAGTCAACCTGTTGCTGATGTAACATCGAATGATATCACGACGAATGTAAGGATAGCAAGATATTTAAAAATCCATTGCTATCAGAAGCTGTAAATATGAAAAAATCACTCAATGATTTGAATAAT